AGTAATAATTTGGAAGGAAGGTAATCGAAATGAGTGGACACAGGCTCATGTTTTCACCGACCATAAATCATCTGTCAATTCAATTGCTTGGGCACCGCATGAACTTGGCCTCTGCTTAGCTTGTGGATCTTCTGATGGGAATATCTCAGTCTTCACTGCCAGATCTGATGGTGGTTGGGATACCACCAGGATAGACCAAGCCCACCCTCTTGGAGTGACCTCAGTTTCATGGGCCCCTTCTATGGCTCCTGGTGCTCTAGTTGGATGTGGCATACTCGATCCTGTTCAGAAGCTGGCTTCTGGTGGCTGTGATAATACTGTAAAGGTGTGGAAGCTATATAATGGAAATTGGAAGATGGACTGCTTCCCTGCGTTGCAGATGCACGCTGATTGGGTGAGGGATGTGGCTTGGGCACCCAACTTGGGCCTTCCAAAGTCTACTATTGCAAGTTCTTCGCAGGATGGTACAGTTGTCATATGGACTGTGGCAAAAGAAGGCGATGAATGGGAAGGTAAAGTTTTGAAGGACTTTACGACCCCTGTTTGGAGGGTCTCGTGGTCCTTGACAGGAAACTTGTTGGCTGTGGCTGCTGGGGACAACAACGTCACGTTGTGGAAAGAAGCAGTTGACGGGGAGTGGCAACAGGTGACCACAGTCGATTAGTACTACTTATAGATTTCAGTTTTGTTTTTGTTTCTATTGTTCTTCCTGTCTTTTGGCAATGTTAAGAACTAGTTTGCTATTTTTCTCAGTACAATTTTCATTCTGCTTTTGCTTTCAGATACTTGTGTTTGTATATTGATTTATTAAATTTAGAAATGAGATTTCACTATTTCTCTTGTGGTTTCTTTGAGGCATCTTGAATTTCAGGTTGTTTGCTTGAATCGAAAAAAAAGTTGTTTATGTTGTTTTGGGGTGAAGCAAAATGAGGTGGCTATAAAGCTTCTATGGTTTCTCTACCAGTGATGGAGCTGCCAAAAATATTGTTTCAAATCAAACAACCACCTCTCGGATTTCTTCATCCTTTTTTTGAGGGGTTTAAATTTACCCATAAAAGTAACATTTTGATGCTTTTTTTGTTGGGTAGCCTGAACCCACTTGGAGGAATTAAGTGAATCTTTATTTTATTCTAATTCTATTTTTATTTGAAATTCAATTTTCTAATTAAATCAATTTTTTGCAAATCCTTGTTTAGCAAAAGAGTTTGTGATCAAAATATAACCTAAAAAATTAACATTTCAAGACTTGGATGGATTAGGGGTGAGCAGCGGATATATCGATCCGCCAAAACTGACTGAACCGAACCGATCCGTCGCATTTTGGACGGATGCATGATAACGAGCGGACGGTTGCGGATTGATTTTCTCCAATCCGCCAATCTGGCGAACGGATGGCGGATTTGAGATTCCTTTGGCTGCAACTGAACTGCCAAACCGTGAGCAACCTTAGTAATTTATAAGACTTTGTGTTTTCAGTTTGTTTAAATATTTTGTTTGCGTTTTCAATTAAATATTTTGTTGAAAAAAAGTTTTCAACTTGAATATCTTTTTTGAATTGAAAAAAATAAACGTATTATTTATCTATGTTTTTTGGTTATTAAATCTATCTCTAAAAATAATAAATAGAAAATAAGATATATGTTGGTTGGTTTTTGTTTTCAAAAACAGATATAGATGTAACGATACAGAGACATACAACCTCTACTATTGCTCTGTTCATGGTTTTGGGGTTTTGGTGGTTTGAATTGTTTTTATATTTTAAGAATTACAAATTGTAATACTTTATGTGGATGAGGCATGCTGTGATTGTAGTATGTGGATGAGGCATGCAGTGGTTGTGATATTCTAAAGTTTCAAACTTTCTTGCTTTGGATGAGGCATGCAGTGATTGTAATTTTTTTTGAAATCATTGACTGTAATACTTTTTTTTTTTTTTTGAGGATTTTTTTTTTAGGAAGTGCACAAGTTGAATTATGTTGAAAATTTATAAAATTTTAAACCGCTAAACCGATTCGCATTCATCCGCCCAACTGTCAATCCGCTCAATCCACATTCGCCGGATTGGCGGATGGATGCGGATTAATTTTCTCCAATCCGTCAATCTGACGGACGAATGGCGGATTGGAGATTTCATGGTCGCAACCGACCCACGCCCACCCCTAGGATGGATAGTGTGAATCCTCTTAGAGGAATTAACAAATCTTAATTTAAGTTTAATTACAATATATATATTTTTAATGTGGACATACTTTAAAATTTAATTAGCAAATCAACTCAATTTTATTTTTTTTCGCTTTGTTTTTCAACCGGCATTCCCTAAAATTACCTAGCACATAACTCCCTTGTTCAATCTGAAAACATATTTGATCTCAATGTAAGAGAGAAATGTTTATTTGGTATTGATTTCGTTTTTTTGTATTTTTAGAAACAAAATAAAAGTTCAAAACTTCATTACTCCTTACTTTTATGTGAAACAATTTTCCCAATTTAAAAACTTGTCTTTAGATTTTTTTTTTCTTCAAATTAATTTTTGAAACAACATTCACCGGTTTTCATTTTCAGAAAATTCTACTTTTTCATTTTTCATATTTTTTTTTTATTTTTACTCATTTTTTTTTAATATTTCCATCAATTTTTGTAAGTTTTAGACACACTTAACATAAATACACTTAAAAAGTATAATATTTATAAAAAAATAGGAAATTTTTTTTTAAGATCCCTGCTATTAAGATTTTATAGTATAAAGGACACTCAATATTTTCATAATGTCTAAAGTCCCTTAACATCGATCCAGGGAAAATTCGACCCACAAAAAATTTGATTCAGAGAAATTCTGAAATTTTTTTTGGACTTCACTCTTCAGAGAAATTCTAAACTTTCCAAAGAAATTTCTAACTTAAGCCTTTATCTTTGTCCAGAGAAATTCCTAAAGCCTTCATCATCTTCTTTGCCTAGAGAAATTCTGAGAAGTCTAGAGAAATTATAGACTTCCCAAAGAAATTCCTAAAGCCTTCATCATCTTCTTTGTCCAGAGAAATTCTGAGAAGTCCAGAGAAATTATGGACTTCCCAAAGAAATTCCTAAAGCCTTTATCATCTTCTTTGTCTAGAGAAATTCTGGACTTCTTAGAAAAATTCCTAAAGCCTTCATCATCTTCTTTGTCTAGAGAAAATTCTGAGAAGTTCAGAGAAATTCCTAAAGCATTTGTTCTTCCTCCAGAGAAATTCTGGGAATATAGAGAAATTCCAAAACAAAATCACTTCCCAAAATATGCCTTGGAATAAACAATTCACAAAAGAGTAAAGAAGAACAATCTGACAAGAAAACAAATTTAGCAAAAGTTCAAACATAAACAAGCTTAATTCAGATTCAATATGACCGAATCTAGGGGGAAAATTTCACAGAAACAAAACAGAGTAAGAACCAATTCCAATTCAGTTACATAAATTACAGTGAATATGAGCTAAACACAAGTTGTAGAAAAATACACAATTCGCAGACGAAGAAATTAAAAACCAAGTTAAATTATGAGAGAGACACCATTACACTTGGCTCAACCTGCATATTTGTTTCTTCTTTCCTACTATCAATCCCTTGGTGAAGCTACAATAGCTCTTTGACTTTGATTCTTCCTTGCTTTCCTATTAACTTTTGCACTATCAACACCTACAAAATTAGCTCCACCAAACCATATCTTTTTCAACAACTCATATGTTTTTTGCTCATGAGCCTTCAAAAAAGTCCGATTCTCGCCCATTTTACTTTTGCTAGCATTGTTCTCATACTTCTTCAACCTCCTCACTTTTTCAAACAATTGGGTCTTGCTAACATCAATGTGCAACGATTTCTTGATGAAATCATAAAAAACATTCATATCAGCGAGTGGATCAGACCATTTTTTGCAATATATTAAATCATACCTTTCAAAATCACAATCTCAGCGAGTAATCGACCGTTGTTTGTCATTTTTGTAGAAAGAGAAGAAGAAGATTGGTGAGAGCTAAGGTTTAAACAGTATTGAAGTAGAGAGAGAGAAATGAAATTTTATTTGAGAGAGTCAAATTTCTTTGTAATATAGGGGTGTGGGGGTTGAGAGACCTTAGACATCATAAAATAATATTGTGGTTTTCTTCCATTACTAAAAATGGGAGAGGGACCTTAAACTAATTTTTCCAAAAAAATATTTAAAAAATTCACAAAAAATACCAAAAATACAAAAATTCAGTACATTTTTTATATTTATGTGTATTTATTAATTTTTTTAAATATTTTACTATTTAGATATATGTAAGATGCATCTAAAAAAAGTAAAAAATTAATTAAAATTTTAAAAATATTTACTAAAAATAAAAAAACAAAAAAAAAAAAATTTAATTTAAAAAAAATTAAATTCAAAAAATCAAAACCAAATACACTGATTAAAATTATCTTGAGCTCCAATACTACTATAGTCTTATAATCTCAATAGATTTTTTGGTGGGTTAATTTCACTTTAAACTATCATCATTGTTTCTATCTCGTCTATTAGTTCCCACAATTTTAATTTCTGTTTATGTGGTCTAATTAGAGATACAAATCAATAATCATTGCAGTCTAATTTAATGGGAAAAATATTATTTCAATACACTGCTGGAAAATAGTATTTAGCGGCGTTTTCCATAGGTGAAAAACATCGCTAATTCTTTTTGTGATGTTTAGTATCAAACGCCAAAATAACGGCCGTCGCTATAGCTTTATAGCATTAAAAAAACGTCGTTATATTAGTGTAGGCGGCGTTTTTAAAACGCCACCAAATGTCCTACATAATAGTACTATGATATTTAGCGACGTTTTTAAAACGCCGTCATATCTTTTTAAAAAATCTGATTGTTAGATTTAGGGTTTAACTGGCGTTTTGAAAAACACCGTGTTATCCTTTTTCATTTTTTTTGTTGTTGAAATTGTGCTAATTTTAAACCCATGAAGAAGTATTTGGAGATTCTAAGAGACAGTTTTCGAACTGCTCTCCAAAAGAAAAACATTATTATAAAAGGTTATAATATGGTTATTTTAAAGAACTTAGTTGAACAGAAGCTAGAGTAAAAGAAATTGTTGGAGTTCCTACTAATACATCCAAATGCACAATTCATGTAGTCAAGTAGTCTAAGAGAATACAGCAATGAAAGCTTTCCATAAAAAGCAATCTGCCTTCTGAAGCAAAGCTCATCACGTGCAACTATTCCACGCATGCCAGCCTGAATAGAAACAGCAAAAGAGCACAATTCTTTATAAGCTTTCCTAGCAGGATGCATGCGAAAATCTCTCTGAATTCTCAGACAAGAAGCTTATCTCCTAATGTTCTTGTAAACTTCCCGAGCAAGTTGTCCTGTAATCAGCACAAGGAAAAAATCAATGAGTTATATACTTTCAAGGTCTCAGCTAGGGGTGTCCGCGGTTCGGTTTGGGACGGTTTGCGGTTCGGTTTGGACCCGCCCGCATCTATGCGGTTTGGGGAAAAGTCAACCCGCAACCGCCCGCAATGCGGTTTACGGTTTGTGCGGATAGGATTCACGGATGTGCGGGCTGTTGCGGGCGGTTTGCGGATTGAACTTTTTTTAGCTTTAGCAACAATGCATCTTTGCTTTAGCAACAATGATACCAACTAACAGCCATAAGATCATCCCCTAATGCTAACAAAGCTACACAAACTGTCAAGTATTTAAAAACTTATCAATAGACTCATAAGATCATCCCCTAATGCTAACATCGCTCTAAACCTAGATAATCCAAAAAACATGGCACTAAGTAAATTATCATTTTCTACATGGATAACATAGAAAAATTTAGGTAAGATATATAACAAAATGGCAGCAATATAGATATATAACCATGGAAAGCATCACAGCATTGAGTCACAATTGGAGGCTTTCATAATTCATTTCAGCAAGGCCACCACAACCAACATCCTTTGAGTACTTTAAACAAACACCTAAAATTCACAAATCCAAAAGCAGACAAATCATTCAAAAGCCCAAAAACCCACAAATCCTTAATAAATAAATAAGCAAATAAACCTAAAACCCATAAATCAGACAAAACATGATACTATGAAAAACAGAAGCATTACCCCCCTATTCATAACTGATTCAAAACATATTCAAATATCAAAACAGATTCATAACAAATTCATAACAGATTCAAATATCAAAATAGATTCAAATATCAAAACAGATTTATAAAATCTTGATAAAGAATTGAGGACACAAACAGATCTGACATAAAAAAGAGAATTTAGAGATCGGGAAGAGAGAGAGAGAGAGAGAGACAGACATAAGCATACCTGAGAGTTGCCGGAGAGAGAGAGTGAGAGTCGATCGGTGGAAATCAGTGGCCACCGTTGCTATCGCCACAGAGAGAGAGATGGAAGAACGAGACGTCGATCGATGGAAATCAGTGGACGTCGTCGCCATCGCCATCGCCACAGAGAAAGAGAGATGGAAGAACGAGACGTTGATCGGTGGAAATCGGTGGAAATCAGTTGTTGCCGTCGCCATTGCTACAGAGAGAGAGAGATAGAAGAACGAGAGAGAGAGAGAGAGAGAGAGAGAGAGAGAGAGATAGATGAGATAGAGAGAGCTACTTCTGTAGTGTGTTTGATGATATTAGGTTTAGGGTTTTGTTTGGTTAGGCAACAAAAATAATGAACGGTCCAGATTTTTTAGGGAAAAAAAAAAAAAATTATTCTGTGCGGACGGGTTGTGGCGGGTGCGGTTCAAACCCGCAACCCGCCCGCAACCCGAAAATTTGTAATATTTCAAACCGCACCCGACCCTAATGTGTTTGCGAAACTGCCCATCACTGTGCGGGTAAGGTCGGGTAGGGCGGTTTGGACGGGTCGGATGACCCTATGCCCAGCCCTAGTCTCAGCAATGAGCTAATTAAAAGAGTTCAGCTGAAAAGACACATCTAACACAATTAACTACCTCTACACATATTGAATCCGACCACTAAAGAATCTTTGCATCTTATAATTTGTAATTTGCAAAGGGTACCAGACCAATAAAGAATTGACTCAAAAAGGAAAAGAAAACACAAATAAGTAGAAATCCCCTTTTACATCCTATGTCCTAATTATCAGTCTATGTAGAGGAAAGAGGAAGGCAAATAGAAGTTACTCCACAATACTACCTCTCTGCTCTAGAAAGGTAGAACATAGAAAACGAAACTGACTTTAAATTTATATCTGATAAGCCAGTCAACACGTGTTCATTTAGAATATACACAAAATAGGTTGTTGTTCTGGCATCATGTAGTTGAATAACAAGTGCTGTGATATAATCATATAACATACACAAAATAAGTTCAAAACAACAGCCGAGCAAATTTGAATGCCATTCATCATCCCAATTTGAACCTCTAGTAGACAGCAGATCACGTCCGGATGATACTGAGGAAGTGTTTCTGCAAAGAATTTAAACAGAAAATTCTCATATTAGGCAACTGAGTTAAGAATTCAAGCAATCTACTAGTTAAAATTTGTTGATGATTCAATGAATTACATGACAGAGTAAATACATTAACTGTTTTCTAATAAGCACAGGTTTCAAATTAATGAGGCAATATAGGCCATTTGACACCAACACAAACTGCATTGATTTCACTCTCTTCTACAATAACAACAACAACAAACAAACAAAAACAAAAACAAAAACAAAAAAATGAGAGAAAACAAACCTTGAAGTTGAGTGAGTCTCACTTTGCTTAGTGTAGCTTTCATCATATGAATGCTCCTTTTCACTATTAAAATCCAAATAATTTTGCTCCACCTTTTTGGAAATTCTCAGGGGTGAACTCTTCTCAGATACAGAATTTACGGCAACAGCGTCTGTGACATCAAGCAGGTGTTGAATTACTTCACACTCACCCACATCCAAATTGGCTTGTGAACGTTGTAGTTCTAACTGAAGCTTTTCATTTTCTTTTTGAAGTGCCTCATTAAAAGGCAAGTTTGGGTAGGAACAAGAAAGAGTTTTCTTCAACCACATAGTGTCATTTTTTGAAGGGTCTGGTTTAAGAATTACGTCTTGAACCTTCTTGTCCTCATCGTCCAATGCATATTCACGTTCGTCCCTTTCAATATCCTCCAGTCTTTCCTGCCAATTTGAGGGAAGTGAAAATCAATTTACATTAACAAATTAACCGTATCATAAAGAAAACTGCACATAATAGTAAAAATGATATCCTGTTAACAATATCCAAGGGATCCATTCCAAATATTTTGGCCACCATGTCAAGCAAAGTTCACTATATGTAAAAATATAGAAATATAATCCATAACTGCATCAACAAAATCAGAAATCATCTTTTTCAATTATAGCCCCAACCAAACAAATATTAGAATCTACAAATTGCACTTCACAAGAAATGCCACTGCATGATGTATAGAAAAAATATGGTGGTCATTGTAGAAGGAGAAATAGAGGGAAAAAAATATAGTAAAAAAAAGAGGCTAGCATGAACATATATCATGACTGGCTAGTCATATATCACCGCAAGGTTAAAGGACAATAAACTACTTATTCTTACCAACACTATATATAGAGAGGGTGCATCCAATGGCAAAGAGATAGTATAACAGTTCTTAATAGCTTACCTCCTCTCACCGAAAGTGTGCATTGCATACTAGCAAAACAAATCATAGCTACTAAGAAAAAAAATGTCCGGTATGAGCATGTTCACAATATGTAAACAGTGTACAAAATACAAAGAGGGGAACAAGGCAAAATTATTTATATTTTGGAGGGGCCAAAGTAAAATTACATAGATTTTGAAGGGGACAAAATATCAACTTCATTAATAAACACTCAAAATACAATGGGGATAAAATGGGTATTATGTTACAAAATATGTTATAGGATTTGTGTCCACCAATGGGTATTATGTTATAAACTAAGGTAACAGATTTGTGTTCACATTAGCCAAAAGCATTTTGTTGACATTATGTTATAAAATATGTTACAGGATTTGTGTTCACCTTATGACGTTTTTCTTTTTTCAATTTTTTCTTTTTCTATTTGGGCAATAACAGTAGGAAGTTACTGACTTAAGAGTAATCCATTACCAGGTAATATCATCTGCAAGAGAGAGAGAGAGAGAGAGAGAGAGAGAGAGAGAGAGTTGTGAAACATTTCATTACAAAATGAAAATTTTGTACTACTAAATTTTCAACTTGGTTTCAATTTCAATTAAGAAAATTTGGCCACTATCAACAAGCTAGCGTTCCAACAGGAATCAAGCAGCAAAATACACAATTTTAACAAGCTTCATGTGCTTATACTTAATTAGCAGGAAAGTCCTATAAAACAATTTAAAAAAATAGTCCTTTATGCAGTTCCAGTAAGGTAACAAAAACCAATGTTCCATGAAAAATAATTCTAAGGCAGCTGATTGAGGTGGGTAGTAAAAAACAATTCTTGATTGGAAATGAATACATAATTTTTTTAACAAAGTTCACATCCACCAATAAAAAATCATCAAATAAAGTTACACTAAAAGAACCCAGCCAAAATACACTAGCAAACAGAGAGGGGAAAAATAAATAAATAAACCCAAAAAATATGAAAATTATTTGCCAAACTTTAATTAACCAAAAAAAAAGGACAAGGAACAAAAATAATAACAAAGATTTATATAATACCCTAACTCGAGCATTATCAGCAAGAGTTATGAGGGGGACGAAAAAAGAAGGCAGCCAACTTCGTTTCCAACACCATGTAAAAGTTACCCTTACTGACCCACAATGCAGTTGTTGTAGAACATTACTATTCTCAAAAATAGCTGGCTTAAGAAGATTATTGGGCTTCACACAGCAAATATAACGAGGCTCAGTCGAACTCAAGAGTTTCAAGCAATTGTTGCAATTGTTGCTGCAAAAAGTACAACAGGAATTTCGTAAGTCAAGCTATTGTACAAAAGAAGTAGATAATTTAAGAGAGAGAGAGAGAGAGAGAACATTAGACCTTGAACCGTGAACCTATTGAAGAGAACTTTGATTGTTAGAGGACTCCTCAGATGAAAGTGGAAACAAACCCAACACAAAGGAACATTTGGAAGCACTCAAGAGTGCTTGATGTTCAGTAATAACATAATCTTTGTTTTTGTCCAGAAAAAATTCAGTTTGATAGGTGACCTGAAAAATAAATTGAAGTGCTGGTCAATGTTTTTTGTTTCAAAAGTGTATATTCTGGAGTTGAATGAACTATTAAATAAATACATAAAATAACACAGAGAATAGAAACTTACATCATCAGCATAATGGCAAACCAACAGATAAGCCTACTGCAGGTGCAAGATGTGATGTCCCAAGGATAAAAATTTAAAACCAGGAATTAAAAGTCATGATGTGCTGTTGTGTTATCTGAAGAGAAGCCAGTTTCAAGAATAAAAATTCAAGTTGAGGTAAGAGTAATTAGACAAAGACAACTAGTTGAGTTTGCTTCCATGAATTTTATTTTCCTAAAGTTTCAATAAGCAATGCAACATCATACATAAGATTCAGAATTCAGATTTCTTTGGACTTCTGAAAGGATCTGAATTTGCCACCATGAAATCAGTAACCCTACCAAATTGTGAGGTCCAATCAAGTTTAGGTTTAGTAACCGAACATCAATAATTCCTAAGATAAAATATAACCTTTTCAAAAAAAAAAAAAAATCAAGATATTTAAATTGCATGGATGAATTTGTCTCCTAAAGTTTCAATAAGCAATGCAACATCATACATAAGATTCAGAATTCAGATTTCTTTGGACTTCTAAAAGGATCTGAATTTGCCACCATGAAATCAACAACCCTACCAAATTGTGAAGTCCAATCAAGTTTAGGTTTAGTAACCGAACATCAATAATTCCTAAGACAAAGTATAACCTTTTCAAAAAAAAAATAAATCAAGATATTTAAATTGCATGGATGAATTTGTCTAGCATAAAAAGAAGGGGGGGAGGGGGGGAGGAAAGATCAATTGCATGCTATACAACGCAATTGCAAGACCAATCACACACTCTTTACAGCACTGGGAAGCAGGTTGAAGATGAGGTTTTTGAAACTGTTGTATCAAGCAAGAATATCCCCAAATTGATATCATTAATTCAAAAACAATTTCTTCATTTTAATATAACAACCAAATCGTAATTCTAATTGGGTTTCCACTTTCCACCATAATTTTTTTCCCTCTCACTAATTCAATTATTTTCATCTTCTTTTAATTGTTTTTAGTTTTTCAGGGTAAAATTTCTCATATTTCCAATTCACCATCCAACCCCAATCAAGAGTAAAAACAATATTTACATGAATTTAACAACAAAACAGCCAAAAAAAACAAAACAAAACAAAAATTCAAAATAAAAAATTAATTAATAAATACATTTGAATTAAAAGCTAACCTCAAGAAAAGTAATCTCTCTCTCTCAAATATCTGAACCTTAGCAAGCTCCCTCCGCCTTCCATACAAATCTGGATACTCCGGTGGCGGCGGCAACGATGGTAGCACTGAAGAAGAAGAAGAAGCAGCCCTCACTCACTCACAACTCATCAGTGAAAAACAAAGAAAAGACAACGAAAAGAAAGAATCTCTGCGATGAAACAGAGCATATTTTTTTCCTAGTTTTCTCAGCAACCAAACAAAGAAAAGACAATGAAGCAAAGCATATACAACTCAACAGTGAAAAACAATGAAACAAAGCATATACAACTCATCAGTGAAAAACAATTGTTGAAACAGAGCACATACAGCTCATCAATCACTGAAACAGAGAGAGAGAGAGAGAGAGAGAGAGACGACAGAGCTTACCTTAGCAGACGATGGTGGAGACGGATCTGAATCTCTGCGATGAAATCACCGAGATGAAATCCCTCTGAATCTCTGAATCTCTGCGATGAAATCACTGAGATGAATCTCTGAATCGCTCTGGTGAGGGCTTAGAGTGGGTTGAGAGAGAGAGAAAGAGAGACAATGGAGCTCACCTTTGTTGGTGCTCGCTACCTCGCTCTGAGAATGAACAAGCGGTGGAGCTTCGAAATCGCTCTGAGAGAGAGAGAGAGAGAGAGAGCGCTCGAGATTTGGGTCTTAAGTGAGTCTCAGATTCAAAATTAGGGTTTGAAAAGAGGGGAGACCAAGCGCGTGAGGTACAACACATTCGGAGGCGTTTCTTTATTATAAAACGGTGTCGTTTTGCTAAATAAATCTGCGACTTTCATAAAACGTTGTTAAATAATAAAAAAAGTGACGTTCAAAAATACGTCGTTAAAAAAACGCCACCTAATCCCTTTTTTCTGTAGTATATATTTGAATATACCAATAAAAAAATACATTAAATTTTCTTATTATTTTGACCAAACTACACAATCAATTTAATGAGTGTTTGGTCGTATGATTTAAATTGTTTAAATTTTAAAACTATCTTTTTGCCCGTCAAATAGGGCTTTAATTGGTACTTTTTCTATATACTTGTCTTTAATTGAATAACATGATTAGAAATCAGAAATTTTAGAGACAAAATTAATAATATAGAGGTGAAATAGAGGAAATGGTGATAGTTTAGGGAATAGAAGTGAAATTAACTTCTTTTTATTTTTTTAATGTTATTTTGAAGTTTTGGTTTTGCATAGTGTTTATTGAATCTAATTGAATTTGCAGGTTTTGAGTGGAGGCGAATTTACGATGTTGTTAACATATTAGAAAGTGTTGGTGTATGATCTTGTGCACTTCTTTCTACCGTGATTCGGATTCCTTTTCTTATAGAGCTAAATTTTCTTTACACATCTGGGTTCGTTAATTTTCCAAGGTATTATCAAGAAAAGTGAAGAATCAGTATTTTTGGAAAGGTTTTCGTGCAATCCCACGGGCTTTAGATGAGCTTAAGGTAGTCAAAATTTTGGGTTTTGTAGTTTTGTATCAGAAACCAATAAATTGGGAGTGAAAATTTCTGATTTTTTTAATTTTTATTATTTTGATTTGCTTACTAGGAAGAAGCATTGAGAGAGAACTTCTCCACCTCAGGTGTCTTCCATTCTACCAATGTCTGTTAGCAAGGGTCTTATATAATATATTTTTTATTTATCCTTTGTTTGGCTGCCAAGAAAGCATGAGGAAATTGTACGAAAATCAAATGTTCTGAATGCTTTTATTTATGTTGTTTCCTTTTGGGATGATAAGAATTAGTATTGAATCACTCTCTGTACATCTTCTTAGCAATCAAATGGTTTTTTATGCATTTCTTGTTGTTCTCTAATGGTAAATATGAGCTTCTGTCAATAGGTTTCAAGTGTAAACCATTGTGGAGGGCCTTCAAATTCTAAAACTGATAGGAAAGACAAGCCTTCTGCATCAAATAAAGTTGGTAAATTCTCGTTCTCTTGTGTTCTTTGTTTGTTTCTATAAATTAGATTACTTGCTGCTAAGAAAATATCATTAATCTTATCTATGTCTTTTATTACTCAAATTTGAGGGATCATAGAGTAAACTAAGGTTATCATTTCCATTTACACAAGCATACTAGGATTTAGTTTTTGTTTGTACAGACAACAGGAAGGAGATATCTCTGGGTCTTCTTACAAAGAATTTTGTCAAGCTTTTCATTTGTTCCCACCTAAGCTACATATATGTACATTATTTATCCATTAACAAACTAGTTTACTTTCTTGCATTTATTTTATCTGATTCAGTTCTTTCTTTTAGGAGGATTTGATCTCTTTAGATAATGCAGCAACAGCATTGCTTGGTGACATCCATGATCCAACAGCTATGAGAAGTAATTGAACTTTTGTCATCTTTATGCTTTGATATTTATAAATTATATATAGTGAAGATAGGAGAAACAATTTTGTTACTTTGGCTTTATCTATGTAAGATAATTCTGCAGCAAAAGTAAGGCGCCTTTATGATATTGCACATGTCTTTTCATCCATGAATCTCATTGAAAAGGTAAATTACATTTCAAAATTTTATTGATTAGTAAGTGCAAATAAGTATAAGGGGAAAAAAAAATCCTCAATCCATTTCTCATTGGATCTATGTGTTTTCAGACTCAGCACCCAGAGAACAGGAAACCGGCATTTAGATGGTTGGGGATAAATGGAAGTTCCAAGAATGGACCTACTTCTTTGAAATTTAACGATTCTAAAAGAAGAGAATTTGGAGCTAAAAAATCTAAGTCCGAATCTTCAATTGATTGTAACTCAAACGAGAAGGCAGATATGCCAATGCTTATGAAACACAACAATTCGAAAGATAAACATGACAGGAGCTCATTGGAGTAGCAAGGAAGATATTCATCCAAGGGTTCTGTATTTGGCCCTTTCACTCCGGCTAGTGTGCCTAAAGTGGGAGATTCATGAAACAAAAATGAAAGACGAGTTAAAGACTTGGAAGACTTGGCTTCTTATCGTCCTCAGTATCACAACCAAGGTACCTTTTAATACTACATTATGAGTACCCCTTATAACTTTTCTGGGTCATACATACCTAGCATATAGTGCAGTACTGTGCAGTACTGCAAATTGTTGCGGCATTTCATGGGGATGATAAAGTATGAACATATCAGATTTTTCTTGTTCAACTTTTCTATTTTGTTATGAAAATTACTTCAAGTAGTGAGTTGATCATTGACAATGTTGTTGGCTATCAAATATTCAATGATCTTTACTTGGTGATCCACAACCTTAAAATTCAGGAAAACAGTATATATGTTTGTGATGATGTTTTTGAAATCTGCATGCGTGTTCCTCTGCCCAAGCACCAATAAGGATTTGGAAGTTAATATTTCAAATTATTTCTATGGTACAATGTTTTGGGGCTTGATATCCTTCTTCATATAATGTTTTTGGACCTTGAATCATGTATAAATTGCTGTGCTTTCATTTGGATTTACATCTCATGTCACAATTAAATGATAGAAGATAGGTTTTGTTGGTGTGGCAGCTTTAAGTGACCTTTTTGCTCATTATGTTGCGGCATGGAAGTCATGGAATGTCGAAGTTGATGAGAAGAAACAAACGCAAGAAGTATCTTGATCCCACTTATTCTAACTTCAGAGATAATCAAGTGCTAGTTCAACAGAGAATGCTATACTATGTTTCTCTTTCTTGATTATGAGTTTTAAGCCTTAGGTTGGATGCATTTTCTTGATGCACCAACCAGAATAGCCAGCACCCGTCTATTAACTCCTGACATTATAGCATTGATGGTTTTAGTTTCTCCAATTCACGGTTGTAAATTGCAGTTTCCTAGCTTGGATTTGATGAACATGCAAGGCCTTGATGACATGTTTATAGAAAAAATTAATTAGCATTTCCAACACTTCTTGGCAACATGTACTGTGTTGTTTAGATATTTGTTTTATGAATAATGCTATATATACTAATTAATGTACACACTAGTATATAACAGATGATGTGACATCATTTGTATGGTTTTGGATATTTGTAACTTGTATAATAGATGTGGTCAATAATAATATCATAACACTAGTTATACTAGTATGTATATTAATTGGTACATGTGGCACCACCGTTGTTTTATTATTATGAACTTAAAAATGCTAATTGTAATACCATAGACCTTGAACTAAATTTTGTAAACTCAAAATAAATTTGATTAAGATTAGGTAGGGGCTCTTGCAATCCAAACAATTTGAATTTTATTATTAATATATATAATTATATATAATAGAAATGAATATGCCTATTATTTTATTACTATTTAATCAAAAATTTCAATTTATATGGATCATTTAAATTGTTAATTGAATAATATACATATGATTCTTGAACTATAAGCTTCATGTCACATTGGTACCTGGAAGTTTAAATTTTGCCACTTTAATCCTTAAACATGAAGATGAATATAACATTTCAGTGTTGTTGAGGAATGGAATTAATAAAATTAAAAAATTAAGGATTAAATTAACACAAAATGCATAGAATTATAGATGAATTTTATAATTATTTTAGATGGTCATCAATTTAATTCAAACTAATTAAATTATAACTTCAAGAATAAAGGATTGCATTGTGTTTCAAACCAATCATATAATAAAAAAATTTATTGATAAAACATATTAATTCACTTTTATTAAGTAATTTGAAAATAAAGAATAACTTAATTAATATGAGTTATGTTTTTTTATTAAAAGGAATAATAGCTTTTGCTTCAACCTCTTAGGGTCGCACTCGACGCAACCTGAGATAAATTCCAAACGCCCTGAAATCGTGTAAGGAAAAGAACACTCTAACCACGCTGAAATCGTGAGAAGAGGTCCGAAAACAACCTCTCAGGGTCGCACTCGACGCAACCTGAGGTAATCCAAACACGCTGAAATCGTGTAAGGAAAAGAACACTCTAACCACGCTGAAATCGTGAGAAGAGGTCCGAAAACAACAATCAGGGGTGCACTCGACGCAACCTGAGATAAATTTCAAACACGCTGAAATCATGTGAGGAAAAGAACACTCTAACCACGCTGAAATGTGAGAAGAGGTCCGAAAACAACCTCTCAGGGTCGCACTCGACGCAACCTGAGATAAATTCCAAACGCGTTGAAATCGTGTGAGGAAAAGAACACTCTAACCACGCTGAAATCGTGAGAAAAGGTCCGAAAGCAACAATCAGGGGCGCACTCGACGCAACCTGAGATAAATTCCAAACACGCTGAAATCGCGTGAGGAAAGGAACACTCAAACCACGCTGAAATCGTGAGAGAGGTCCTACGAAAACCACTCAGGGGCGCATTTCACGCAACCCGAGATAAATTCCAAACACGTTGAAATCGTGTGAGGAAAAGAACACTTTAACCATGCTGAAATTGTGAGAAGAGGTCAGAAAACAACAATTAGGGGCGCACTCGATGCGACTTGAGATAAATGCCAAACACGTTGAAATCGTGTGAGGAAAAGAACACTCTAACCACGCTGAAATCGTAAGAAGAGGTTCGAAGAAAAGCAATCAGGAGAGTGCTCCACGCGTCCTGAGAAAGCCCCGGGGGGGCAACGATCCTAAACGTTGCTCAGCGTGAAAGGATAAATGATACAAGATAACACAAGATGCAAATAAATACAATAAGTGTGATGAGATGATACATGCTACAAGCAATG